TCGCCGCACCCCGCCTCGAGCTAGGCCGACGCATCTCACCGCGCGCTTACATTCGCCAGTAGGTTGGGCTAATACGGCGATTTTTAAAATTTCGTATCTCGATAACTATTCGTCCAAGCGCAAAATAGTACAATACTTTTCTGTTTGTCTTAGTCCCCTCTATCTTCCCATGACCGGAAGTCAATATATTGCGTAGCACCCTGTATAATGGTAAATGATAAATAATAAGAAGTCAGAAAATGTAGGAATAAATTAAAATAAATAAATTAATTGATGAGCTCATGGACTCACGTGTCTCGGTAGTCAATAAATTTTAGTAGCGATGTTAAACATTTTTCTAAGTTTTCGAGCAACAACCATACACTTGAAGATCTCAAATAGAACTTATTAGGAAGTAAACATTATACAAGGTGAATATCAATTTATGCGAGAATGGCACTTAAATTAATTGCGATAAATTAGAACAAAATATTAAACTCAATAATAATAATAAAATATTAAGTAAATAAAAAATCTTTAAAATTTTAACAAAATTTTGGCTTTTAACTTTTTAGCTTTCAGCTTTTACAAAAATAATGTGTTTATTTTAATTGCAAATTAAAAAATAATATTTGAAGTAATACTTAAGTTAAATTAATAATTGCACTTTGTTCATGGAGACGAACTGATACAAATAGATTCATAACGCTAAATGATTTTTAAATTAATCAGAGTCTTTTTAAATTTGATCAGAATCTTTACTATCTTGAAATTGTAAGGAATCCTGAGTATTTAAACATTTTGAACTCTGCGAATCTTGCAACGTTACGTTGTCTAGTGATTGTACAGGAATAGGCTTTTCATTTTCAGCTTGTGAATATTTCTTCATAGTAATAGTTTGTTGAACACTTGCAGTTTTGGCTCTCTCCGGAGTTAGATTTTTAAATTTAATAATACTTTAGGAAAAGGACTTGAAGAACTAAAGGCTTGCGAATCAAGATTAGATGGTGAAAATGAAGAAGAATAATGAAGTGGGGAGATTACAAAGGGATTTTGAGCGATTGGGTTGACTGTAGGAACTGAAACTGTCGACAGTTGAGACGAGATCTTAGGAGCGAAAATATTTTGCATGCCAGTTAACAATTGATTAGTTGTTTCTTTTAATATAGTTCTTTGGCTTTCAAGCATATTGTTAATTATTTCTTTTTCTAACTTTCTTTCAGATTCCATTAACTTTTCAATGAAGCATCGATTCTCTGTCATAATTTTGTTTTGAATTTCTTCATAATTTTCCTTTAATTTATCTGCGTACCTCATGGTAATAGCTTCATTTGATCTGCTCATTTTACGTTTTTTTGTAGGAACAACACTATTAATTGCACTTAGATTTACGGTATTCGATTCGCTTGACAAATCTTCTTGTAACACACAGCCTGTAGTTGATGAATTGTCTAATGTCGAAGAACATCCTGGAATTGCACCGTTTCGTGGATCTGGTTCATCTTCATAGATGTTGTTCCTTGAATCTAGTAGGTATAGAATAATGTTTCTATATTATCTTAAATATATATTCTTGTTCAAGCGGGAACGAGAGTCTAGCGGCCGCCTCGCAACTGGCGCTGCGACGAATTCCGTTCCTCATGTTTAGCCGATGTCTCGCTCCAAACAATACCGTTCTCTCTCCCTCGGGTGGATCGAGAAGCTCGCGCGGGGAGCTGAACAGGGGTTGTGTACGCATTCCTGTGCGCGGCCTTTTGGCCAGTTGCGAAAAGGATTGTCTCCGGAACTCATCGAGTTACCCACGCTCTCTTACTTTATATGCTCGCCGTCTTATACGAGCACTTTAGTCGTAAGGGAGCGAGTATTCTTACACGTGTACGAACAGTGTCTTGTGAATAAAGGTGCTGTGATTGCCCGGACTTGTTCAAGTGTCGTGCGGCCTCCCCTGCCCCTCCATTTCCTTATCGCCTGACTCTAACGGAGCGATTAGCGCGTTCGCTGGGAGAGCAGCGAACATTCTTATTATATATTATATAGGTTCTTATCTACTACACTTCATAAAATTACATTTATAAGAAATCACTTACAACTATTATCATTACTCTCAGAAAAATCTTGTAGTAGTGTGCTGTCTACAACATCCCCTAGAGCAATGGGACGGAAATCCAAAAGTTGACTTATTTCTTCAGCATATGGAAATGAGGACATGCAGTTACCAGATCCACTTTTTCCCATTTGTCTTCGGATTTTGTTATATTGAACTGAAAATGATAAATAATGTTACAATATAAAATTAATGTATTACTAAATTTAAATAGTTCAGCTCCAGAGAGAGCCAAAGCTGCAAGTATTTAAAAACTATTATTGTAAAGAAATATCCCCAAGTTGAAAAGGAAAAGCTTATTCTAGTACAATCGTTACTTAACGTAATGTTGCAAGACTTGCAGAATTTAAAATGTTCAAGTACTCAGGATTCCTTACAATTATCATTCAATAAATCAAATAAAGTATGAATAACTACGTTTTAATTTACTTCACATAAAATATATTTTTACTTACGCCTCAGAGTTCTAAATTTAGTCTGCATTTGCTTTGATGTCTTGTTATAACCTTTATCTTTCATAGGTGATTCTAAATATTGAAAAATGTCATCTGCTCGAAACCTTTTTCCATCTAAACTTTTCATTACTTGCCTCTCTCTCATTAATTTGAGAAAATATCGAGTTTCCTCGGTTTCCCAACTTTCACGCTTTTTTATTTCCATTTTTTGTACTTTTTCTTTGTATTTTCTGTATTAGGATATTGTAAATATTCTTTTGTTGAAACTATTTAATTTGTCAGGATAAGGAAAGCGAAGAGATGGACACCACTGAATTTAGCACAATTAATACTTACTTAACTTTATTGGAAATATGTGTATAAAGACGAATAAACGATTTGCTTAATTAAATGTATTAAACTTAAATATATTAAACTTAAATGTATTAAACGATATATAACGAAATAAAACACGATACCGGCTCACTAACGATATCAGCAATATTCTAACAATAAGTATTTTGCAAGTACTCCCGTTTAAATTAGTAATTCTTTTGCACGTAACTAGCTCGCAGGACCGACCGGCGCGTGTCCCTTCTCGAAGGCGAGTGTCTTTTCAAAACGGTCACGCTCCGACCGTTTCCTTGTCTTTCCACTCTGTTGTTACACGATTTGCCCTTGTCTTTTCGCGCACCCGTGTTCTAGAATTTTCGCCTCGCGCGGCTCGCTCGTGCGGTCGGTCGCGCGGCCTGCTAGCACGCGGCCTGTTAGCGCGCAGGCGCCTCGGATCTTACAATATGCAATACAGAATAACCAACTCTGCAAACAAATAGAGAGTTAAGATGTTTCATTTTTATAGTTGGCACTATTGCTATCGTTACACTGCTACCGTTTACACGTCCTTTTTACGTCGATGTAGTAACTCTAAGCCTCTTCACCAAGCGACTTTGAGTTACTACATCGATGTAGTAACTTCGTCATAAACGAGCGTTTATACGGCATCTAACGTCAGTAGTTATAACATCGATGTTATAACTCCGGCTTAAATCGGGCCGTGTAAACGTAGTCAATGTCACACCGCGCTAACAGCAAAAAGTCGACTTAAAGTCGACTTAAAGTCGACTATTCCGAAATATGACTTGGCGAAAAGTCGACTTTTTTTAAGACGAAAGTTCGACGGAAAGTCGACTAAAAGTCGGCGAATGTCCGCAGAAACGCCGACTTTTCGTCGACTTTTAGTCGACTTTTAGTCGACTTTTAATCGACTTTCAGTCGACTTTACGTCGACTTTTAATCGACTTTACGTCGACTTTTAATCGACTTTTAGTCGACTTTTCGTCATCAGCAAAAAGTCGACTTCTGGCCAGAGATGCAAACTTTGGGGCCGAGCACCATCAAAGTGTTACACTCGGTGCTTACACACACGGACACGATTGCGCTTGTGTGTGTGAGCACTGACAGTGAGTGTAACACTTTGATGGTCGGCCCTAAAGTTTGTATCTCTGTTTCTGTCTCAAACAGATCAGTAATGCGCTATTTTATTGCGCATGTAATATACATGATATGTCCCAAAAGTAATGCGTCGCATTTTTTTGACGCGACTATATGTCGCAGAGCGGTCAGATCGATTTGGATAGGATGGGGGAAGTTTAAGCTTTCCAACGGTTCCGCGCTGAGTTGTCTCCGTGCCCTGGGTAGGTCACAACGTGTCTGTTTGTGAGCTCCTGTGTAGAAGTTTCGTCGTACTTTTCGGTATGTTCAATAAATCCGACATTAACCGTACACTCATTCGACGGTCAGAATTCAGCAACTGGCGGACACGAGTCACACTGTCGTCGTTTCGCGACGTTGAAGGGCGTCCTTGGCGGGCTTCGTCGGCGACCTCCTCCTGGCCTTTTTCGAACATCTTGTAACGATGCACCCCCCGATGCACCGTTCCCGGTATTACACCCGCCGGATGCCGCCCGACCGAACACCCGTCGGGCGAGACACAGGCGCATAGCGCCTCATAAAATTTCGACACACGGACGCGCCGAACCGAGCGGCCGGGGCCACGAGCGGCCCCAGAGACCGCCGAACGGGCCCGAGCGCGCGGCACGGCCGCGAGCCAAACGCGTCGATCAGCTGGGGCCACGAACGGCCCTGGAGATCGACGACCAGGCCCGAGCGCGCGACGCGACGACAAGTCATGCGCAAGCGGCGCGCGCCGCTACGCACGCGCACCCTCGAGCGGGCTAATTACCCGTGACAATTAGCCCCTATAAAAAGGGACAACCGAGCGAAGAAAAGCACTCCTTTGGAGACGAGCTTCCGAGCAGCAGCCGCTCATCCGCAAGTCTCGCTACCCGAATCCTGTCACACGCTACGCAGTGGGAAACCAGCGGTGGAGAGTACTCCGCCACGGTCGAGCTTTCTCGACACTGCGCACGCGTGCTCACCTGCACACCGTACCCGGACACACACGGGGTGGAGCGCTCTCCGCCTCGACCAAGAATTCTCGGGCCCGGGTACATTACCTGACCGCATATCGGAACCGGCTCACAGGGACCAGGAAGTGGATTGTACTCCGCTTCCGCCGAGCTTTCTCGGCACCCGCCGTAGCCAGCCGATTCCAGCCACGGCACCGCGCCGTCCGCGACCGATTCCTGCGCCGCGAAAACCCAAGTCTCCACTTCACGAGGCCGACCAGGCATCCGCGCCCCGCGTTACCGCGTCACCGTAATCATCCGTCATCAGCCATCACATTTCACGTTTCATCATCTCACCGCATTGTACATACACCATCGCATTCCGCGTCGTTACGTCCCGTCCGTCCGTCCGTTCGTTTCGCGAACGCGTAATTAGTTTAAGCTGTACCTAACGTGTATCTACGTCTTTTGTTCAAATATATTTCTTTTCTTATTCGTTACCGAAAATTTTGTGTGGAGTGCTTCCACCTAATCCCTCGAACCCTGCCACCGGCGAGCACAGTCCGCGGGGAAATCGATTAGGCAATTGTTTCATGGCGCCCGAACAGGGACCGTAGTCCGGCAGAAACCGAAGGCACTCGAACCGAGAAAAAAAGTCTAGAGGTTAGATACGTGTCGTACTAAAATTGTGTAGTAAACCGACAGAATGAAGACGTGGATATACGAACTCCGTAAAGAAGAGCTCATAGTAGAGCTCGAAACGATAGGGCTAGACGCGAACGGCACACTGGACGAGCTCCGGAAACGAATGACCGCGTACGTGGAAAAGAATCCGGACATGTACCGAAAAAACGCTGCCGCGGGAAAGAGCAATGACCCCAACCCTGACCCACCCAAAATTCCGGAAGGGACCCACGTGACCGACGCACAACCGACCGGGGTGGGAGAGACAGCAGAGAAATTAGAAGCACACGCGAAAACCATGGGCCAAATACGGAAGTGGGGGTGTCATTTCGACGACCGAGACCCGATCGCGTTCTTAGAAAGAATAGACGAGCTGAAAACCGGATACGGATTCACCGACGACCAGATCCTCCGCGGTTTACCCGAACTCGTGAAAGGGGACGCGTTATTGTGGTACCGGAACAACCGCGACCAGTGGAAACGGTGGGCCGACTTCGAGCAGGATTTCCGGGAGTACTTCCTGCCACGGCGTTACCGGGAACAACTAGTGAGGGAAATACAAACGCGGCTCCAGAAACCCGGGGAAATCTACCGCAAATTCGCGACGGAATTAACCACAATGATGCGCCGCGCGGGGGGGGGGGGGTGCACGGCGGAAGATCAACTAGAGACACTGTACGAAAACATGCACCTGCGGTACAAAATATAAAAAAGCACCAAGTATAAGCTCCAACGACCGAATATATTTTGTTACTCTATCTTTTTTGCATCTCTACAAAAATATCTTCACTACAAAACTATCTTCTCTACAAAAGTAATGATATCATCAAATGGCACCAACTAAACTAAATAGTTTTAAACGCGGTGGGGCGAGATGATTGAAGTGGGGGCATGCCCGCCGGCCGGGCGCCCGCGGACGCCCGTTGCCCGCAGTTTAGACAATCC